AATTGTTTAAGTGCATTTGTGAGAGTGACCGAGGAAAAACAAGATTTTCAATATAGTGAGAAATAATATGGTGGAATCAAGATCTTTTAGCAATACATGAACATCATCCTCCCTGAGGCATCAGACCTTGTAGTAGATATAACGCCAATGACAATTTCTTCGTGCTGAAAGGCCTATTATAAACCTTATCATTAATAGATGCATCAGGTATTAGCAGATTGCTTACACTGTACGTATTGCATATCTTGGAATTTCCTACTATAACTACTAATACAAGAGACCAGAGGAAAAACCCTTGGATAAAAGATCACTCTGTGACACCGGTATAAGTCTCATGGCAAAAGTCTGAAGGAATATTTTCTAGTCAACCACTTTACTTTTTGTCTTGACTTATTTAAGCAGAGTACTGACATAGACTTCCCCCACATACCTCATCCAGGCTGTTTGGTTAGCTTAAAGATTCTTGACTGTCTTGCTAATTCATATAAGTATCTTACACATTTCCACTTCCAGTTTGAGGATTTTGTCATTATCCTTAATTCTTTGTATTTTTTTTTGCACTTAATTTGGTTTTTACAGGCATGAATGAAAGATTCGGTTTCTTTTGCTTGTAAAGGAGTGCACTCCTTAACAGGAGCAAGAATGAACGTGTACTCCTTAGCATGAGTAACCAGAGCATGCACCATGGCATAAGTACGTGAATAATTTTTCTTTACCTGAGCACCTAAATAATGCTCTCCAAGAGGATCACAGTAGCTATTCCCTCCAAGAGGAGCACCTGAACCTTGCATCCTAAACTGAACTCCTGAGCACCACTCATTGAGTGGAGTTCTAAATTATACTCACCCTGAGGAGTGTTCATTTGATGCTCTAGCTTGGGGCTCCTGAGCATTTATTACCATACCAAGCAAGCACTATCCTAGAGGAGTTAGAGGAGGAAATCATATAATGCTTTCAGCATACAAATTCACAAATGATGTCACAAGAGGCAACGTAAGACTTAATGTATAGGTCTTACTAGAATGGAGGAAGAAAGCACTCTTTTAGAAAACTCATTTTCTTCACATACACCATATAGAAGAGAGTTGTCTTTTGTATTCCATGCACCTCTGATCATTAGACTTGTGGGCTTCAATTCAGGATTTAACAATTCAGAATAGGTTTGGTTTATGTTGATCTTCACTCCACACTTTGACACTACATAGGGGAGGACATATAAGACCTCACATCAGTATCCCTCCACCTGGGATAAAATGTATAGGAAAAATCCGATTCATTGAACATGAGAATACTGGAGCTGGTAATTACGAGAACACTATTTCACCACCTCTTGGTTCATTGGACGCTAATAACATCGTTATCTAACAATTTATAGTCATCAGTTTCATGCACAAGGACCCATTGCATAATTCCACTTACACTGATTTCAATTCTCCATAGGAAAACATATCACAAAACCATTGCTTTAAAGGAGGAAGATCTGAAACTATGTGAGACCAGTCTTACTAAAAGTCTGACTGTCCTTGTTAAGTTGCCTGATATTCTGACTATTAATTTCTGCACTTCTTTTAAAGTGCCTCTTCAATATAATAGGCGTGAGCCAGGAGGACAATTTTACAGTCATGCTCAGAGGCATATTACCTTCTCAAAATTCTTATTTTACTGCTGTATCCTTCAAAGTATAGGTGTTGCACAAAACATTTACATCGATCGTTCTACCTTTAATGGTTACCAGTGCTAAAAAAAAAAAATTACAAAGCAAGGCTAGAATGATTAGGTATGTTTTCACTGGCTGATAGGAGGACAAAATGGGTACATGATTCTCACATATAGTATAATAAATGCATTATAGAAGGATATGAAAGAATTGTTAAGGAAGATTTCTCAATACAGTCAGCAGGGAGAATAGCTGTACACTGAGGAAAAGGAACCAAAAGGGTACCACTGCACATAGTTCTTCACAAAGTGGTAGAAGAGAATACAATAACAGGAAATAGTAAATGCTGCAGCTACTGGAATTTAAGGTAGATTAAATACTGAAGACAGGACACCATGAGCATAGCTTTGCTCAGTGGTCCTCACACTGTCAGCAGAATTGACACCAACAGATTTGGATGAAGATTGTTTTATTCTTCTAGAACATGTTACCCAGATAAGATGCTGGGCTTTCCATCTGTGGATTGCACATGAGAGACAGTTGTTTCTCAAGAGCATTTCACTCAACCCTCCTCACCTTGGAAAGGTGGGCCGACTTCAGGAGTGGGGAAAGAGAGGTGATATTAATAATGGCAGTGACAATTAAAGGATTATAAAATTATGTATGATGTTAGTCTTGTGGGTTAAAAACTAATGTTAAGGTAAATTTATCATGGTCGTAATTACTGTAATTTATAAATAACTTACTTCCGAAATAATCGATGAAAACAAGCGCAAACTGAAAGAAATTAGAGAAAATAGCTTTTTTTTCAGTTTTATGGTGCATTATGAGTGTATATCACAGTTAGCCCTGTACTACACTACATTTTCTCTAATATAAGTACCCAGGAGGGGATAAGAGGATGGTACTTTATCCCAAATCCTCTAGCAGTAACTTCATACCTCTGTCGGACCATTTGGTATTATGCCAAATATTATTCATTCTGGAGTATTTTCTATATTTCTATGTTATTTATATTATTTATTATGTCATATTAGATCAATTATGATAGGTAAATAAGCAGTAGTGTTGATATTAGCATAATAATAAAGTATATTCCCCCCCGCATCATGAGACTTGGGAATTCTTGCCGACGTAAGCAAATGTTACCAGATGGTTCCTGATTGGTTCTCAGATTCCGTATTAGCTCCACCCAGTCTGTTATGATGCCAAATTGTCAATTATTATATTAGAAAGAATAATAGAAGAAATAAATGAAAAAAAATCTGAAAAAAATCTGAAAATTGACATGTGAGCACACATGCTTCAGGTGGTGGTGTCACCATATATGTTATAAATGTCTATAATTCCTTGTAGAAATATAGTACAACAGTGATTCTTATACCAGAGTGTTGCCAAAGTGTTAAACTACTTTTCTAAATTGGCGTGTGCGAAAAAATGGCGCAGAATGTGAAAATTGGTGTGGCTGTGTTTGTTTGGCACCCAATTATATGTTCATGACCAGATGCAAAAATTTGGCAAATTTTTTGGTCGTGAACCGATTTGTTTGTGTTCAGAAGCATTTGTCACCAGAGGTTCCACTGTATTTGTTTTAACTTGATTAATTGCATCACACACATCATCCACTGCTACTAAAACAATATCATATCAGATGTATTTTTCTGAAAGGCAAAAAGCACTAAGAACAAAGCAGAGAGCAGCAGACCTAATGGCCTATAAATGGCACCTTCTGTTCACTCACTTGAAAACTCTACTGAAATTAAAATTATGAGTAACTAAAATAATTCTGTAAATTTATTTTGCTCTTGGAACCCTTTAAACTGTGCATGGTGGACAAAATTGCCATCATTATGGAGGCAGGGTTTTTCATATAAACAAAAATTCTGCAGTCTGTCAGTTCAATTTTTTACCACAATCAAATATTGTATGTCAAATCAAAATTTAACCTATTATAACAGTCAAAGAAATTATTTAAGAAAGAAATGGATGGTCAGGTTGATTTAATTTAGATATACAAACAACTTTCAGTAGAGTTCTCTTGAAAGATTAATCCAAAAATAAAAGGACAACTATTACAAGGGATGAGAAATTTTGCTTGAGAAGAAAATGTGGACAGTTATAAGATGAAAATGACCTCGTGAGGAAAATGTCAACGGCAGATAGTCACTAGGATCTCTGTTTGTTTTTAACATATGTAATTGGCTTGCCAAAAGGAATAAAACACTTCAATATGAATATATTTTCAAATGTGATCATGAGCTTTTGGCAGGACAGTCATTCGATGAATGATGGTGAATGTGTTTTCTTTCTTTGGATCACCTAACTATGGTAGGAATGGCTGACGTGGGGAAACAATTAATGTATTTGATAGGGGTGGCTTTACAAGCTTTATATATTAGGGCTTAGAGATGACAGTCTGGTCAGAGGAGAGAGCTAGGTGGACTTGTCTTGAAGCAGTGTTATTATTATTATTTGGGGGCTTTAGGATGGCTGATGGAATTTTGGGGGCTTCAGCCCCCATGCTCTTTTTTGGTACTTCCTGGTGTTTGACAATAATGCAAAAGTCCTGTGCAAAATAAATACAGTACAGCCTCTCCTCACTTAGCAACGTACTCGTTTACCAATGACTCAGACTTAAGATGTGCTCTCTGACCAGTATGCCTACCTAAATAATGTGTATTAGAGCAATGGCACTTGGTGTTATGGAGGGGTTGAGGGGGGAATCATGGGGGATGATTCTCTGACATGCATACACCCGAGATATGATCTGCTCATATAAATGAGACCCCAGTAAAAAAACTGAGAAAATAATTGTTTGATGAATGCCGGTCTGCTATTAAAATACGTGTGATGCATACTGTCATTTTCTGTAGGATAGTAAGCTGACTTACTGATAACTAGTTCATAAGTTGAAAGACTGGGAATGCAATTCATTGGTAGAATCCCTTTTGTAGAGGAAGGAGGATATGCATTAAAGATTGTTTCTCAGAAAATTGTACAGTGTAGAACACTTTCATTAAAAATTGTTTGATGTATGTTAATGCATGGGAATAGATTTCTAAAAAAAAAAAAAATGGAATAAAATGGGGTTATGGTAATATCAGCACCAAAAATATAGATGCTGTTAAAGACATTATTGGTGTTATATGATGAAACTCCATTTACATGCTTATAGTGCTTGTATTTATCTGTTCTCTTTTCTTGAATATCATACAGTGATTTTTTCCTGTCCTTGTCAAACATACAATAAATGTGCAGATATTATTTCAGGAATAAGATAACATACAAGTTACACAAATTGTTAACATTGGTAAGTATGTTCAGCCATGGCATCAGTCGGTTTATTACAGGCCCAGCCAATTCCAACTGACCTTGTGGCAAAGCTGCTGGGTAACAGGGTTGCTGTGTCGCCAATTGTAACAGTGGAACCACGTAGACGCAAGTTCCATAAGCCCATTACCCTTACCATCCCAGTGCCTCAAGCTTCTAGCAAGGGAATGATCAACCAGTATTCTGGTGAAGCTCCGACCCTTCGTCTTCTCTGCTCGATCACCGGTGAGTTTTGCAATAAAAGTTTTATATTTGTTTTTCTTTGGTGTATAGCTGTGAAAGTTTTCAGTATACATATCTATGTTTAGAGGGATGGTGAGAAATGGGCTATAATTCTCTGATAGCTTTTTATTTATCATTTCTTTAGGAATGCCTGTCCTCTGTGTTATATTTTTGAGGTTAATTTAATTTTTTGTATAAATGTCAGTGTTCTCTCAGGGCTCACCAATGTTTTCAAATGTAAGAGTGTATGATTTTTTTTTTTGTAATTCCTTTTAAAACTAAAATTGTGACACCAATTATGAAAATTTGTTGCAAGCATTTTGGTAAGCAGAAACTGATTATGATAATGATTGATCATGGCAAAGTATAACATTGGAGAACTTTATTATAGCAATAGAGGTGTGTTTTATAAAATGATGCTGATAATGATGTCTTACTTTGCTCTAGTTGTGCTTACTTTAATTTTATCAGAGGCATTAATAAAAATTGCAGATTGCAACTATGGTACAATTCAAAGATTTTTACACAAGCAACCTTTGCCCTGTCCTCACTTACAGCTTGAATTTCATTTTGTTTTTTGAAGGGTATGCAATTACATTATTTTTAGGCTTAACTTTTATCATAAATTCTAAATACCTATGATAATGCATCAGTAAAATCAGGGTGCAAGTTCGTCTTTGTTAAGACTCAGGCAAGCATAATTCTGCATTATTTTTGTGGAAGCGGTGATGTGTAGACTGAAATAAAATGATGAACTTATTCTGTAGTGCACCTTCCAGGAAAACTCTGATTTTTAAACCATTTATCAAATTAATTGCTAACCAGTGGTTATACATATACAGTACAGTACAAGGAAATGTTGATTATATGGGGAAGTGGTCTTCTGTGTAAATTACCAAATGAAAAAAGACAATAAACTTTATAGTTTTCTTCTATTTTGGGTCACCCTGCCTTGGTGGAAGAGAGCCGGTATGTTGAATAAACAGCAACAATTGAGTACCAAGAAAATAAAAGAGTTAGTACTGATTATCATCATTGTTTTACTGATTTAAAAAAAAACATTTCACTATGTAATAAAAAACAGAGGAATGAGTTGCTGAATTTCCTTTCCATCTTGTGATACTAGTACTGGCAGTATATTAATTAGTGCAAATCAAATTTTATTAAAATGGTGTTTTTTAAGTGTAACAGCTATAGTCTTAGCCACAGAAATGTTTTAATTTATTTCTTTTCTGTATACTTAAAGTTAATATTTTTTATACTGTATAATATTGTGTGATTCATAATTTTTCCTTAATATCAAGGTATGTAATATTTTTTATTTACAAAATTGAATCATTAAATAAGCAGTTTGGGTACTACTGTTCCATTAAAAGAGATTAAAATGAAATATTTTTATTTTCTAAGTAGATAAATTATACAATAATAGAGTGGTCTATATAGTTGCACACACTGTATACAGTACTGTCAAACATTAATAATACTGTAGTTACATTCCTGGAAATTGATATGATAATTAATAATGCACTAATTGAAATTATGAAATGTAGGGCATAATGGAAAAATGCTTATGCTCTTAAACTTAAGAAAATGTACATAATTTTTAACAGAACAGTGCATTCATATATTTCTTTGAATTATCAAATTCCTTGACTTTTTTTAATTTACCATCATTCGCATGGACATGTCATGATAGAGAAAGAGAATTCAGAAGAGGGAGGCAGGAAGTACATGACACACTGTATTTAACGTTTTTGGTTACAATCGAGTTGATATACAGTGGAAAACATTAGGTCACGTGATCATGGCTTGCATTTTCAATATTCCGAGACCTAAATTAGTTTTTCATTTCCAATCGACGGGCACCCATTTCTATTAAGGCACACAAGCACAATTCATTTCTATTGGTACCATGCATTTCCACTAGGAATGCTGTGACAGGCAAGAGACCCATCACTCTGCATTAGGCAACTCAGTTATTTAAGTGAAGCATGGAAGGGTGTGAGGAAAGGTGAACACACAAACACACACACATACACAGAGAGAGAGAGAGAGAATGAGAGAGAGAGAGAGCGAGCGAGCGAGCCACAGCCAGCCAGCCAGCCTCCCATGTGGGTCAATGTATATCACTGCTCAGTTTTTCATCGCACAATCTTGCCTCTGGACATTTATTATGGTATCCAAACAAAGTGCACATGATGCTGGTGATGCAAGGAAGAAAATAAGCATGACACCATGCCTATTTTGAAACCATAGAGGTAATTAAGATGCTGAAGGCTGGGACATGCATCATGGAGACACACAAGTGTTTGGTGTTAGAGAATCAGTAATTCATTCAGTTTGAAACAGTGAGATGATAAAGGTTTGTGCAATGAGTATTCATCAATGTGACACTGAAAATAATGAGGGATAGCTGATTACAGTTTTATAGAACTAAATGTGTGGATTGAAAAGTAAACAAAGGTGTTCCACTACAAAATTGTGTATGAAACGGGGGTGGAGGATAACCTAAAAACAATCACACATTTAGTACTGGAAGGTTTAACAAGTTTAGAATGCACAGTGGGCTGTAGAAAGAATTGCAGGGTAAAACAAACCAGTGGCATATAACAGAATACCGAAGCACTCCTCTGCAACAATCAACTAATAAAACTGCATCAGCATCCCAAGATCCCCAATCTTAAACATAACATTAACCCCCAACCATCAGCTTTGACCCAGTATGGCCACAGGTACCCTCTCCATTCATTTCAGGATGTTAGCATTGGTAATCCAACTTGAAGGTAAGTAACAGATACCTTTGATACACCTTTGACCTTTACCTTTGAGGTGTTCCAAGAGTTATTCTACACACAGAGCCTGGCCATGGGCCAGGCTTGTCTGGTGCTGTCATTTTTAATATAACCACTTTTTTAGCCATATGTACTCTTCCTTTTCATAGTTTGAATCTTACTAGCATTCAAAAACTATGATTTTTTGAAGTATGATGATGTTAAAAAAATTGTTATGGCTCTCTTGGAAGCCTGAGGAACAAACCTTTTTTTCTCCATATATTTTTTACTCCATAATTTGCACAGATCATTGGTAGCACAGTTTTCAGGAATGTAACCGCACCAGTTATGGTCATCCACTGCATTTCATTGATTTATGCAAGTAAAAGGATCTGTTGGAGTGTGAGCAGGGTAATATTTAGTGAAGGGATTCAGGGAAACCGGTTATTTTTATATAGCCGGACATGAGTCCTGGAAATGGGAAGTACAATGCCAGCACTCTAAAGGAGGGGTTTCAGGATATTAGCAGTTTGGAGGGATATGTTGTGTATCTTTATACGTATATGCTTCTAAACTGTTGTGTTCTGAGCACCTCTGCAAAAACAGTGATTATGTGTGAGTGATGTGAAAGTGTTGAATGATGATGAAAGTATTTTCTTTCTGGGGATTTTCTTTCTTTTTGGGTCACCCTGCCTCGGTGGGAGATGGCCGACTTGTTGAAAAAAAAAAAAGAGGTTTATTGCAATAAAACAGTTTAGTTTATTTCTCTTTTTTTTTTTTTTGTATTCTGAATGAGATCTGCAAGCAAGAAGTTGCAGATGAGATCCATTATCAGAAGAACCTGACACTGAATTTCCATACATAAAATGTGTACCATATATGTGTTTAAAATGGGTATCTTTCCTGTTTACTAAAATATTTTTTTTTTTTTTATACACTGGTCGCCTCCCACCGAGGTAGCATGATCAGAAAAAGAAACACTTTCACCATCACTCACACTATCACTGTCTTGCCATAGGTGTGCAGATGTGACAAATGTCCATCCAAACCCCTCCCTTAGAGAGCAGGCACTGTACTTTCCACCTCCGGGACTCAAGTCCAGCTAACTGGTTTTCCTGAATCACTTCACAAATATTACCTTGCTCACACTCCAACAGCTCCAAAAATTCTGATTTTGTTTTTTATCTTGAAGATAAAAGCATGATATTGCAAGTGGTCATTTTGTCAGTGCATGTGACTGGGAAAGTGGTGGTGGCAAGACAAGTAGAGTACATGACTTTCTATCTTAGAAACACACACGGGAAACTTAGAGGTTGGGAAGAAACCTTGAAAGCGAAACATCCCATCTTGGTCACTTATGCCCTAAGGATCATGTAAGATATGGCTAGATAACCCCTTAAGAGAATCCAAGGAACATCCAAGGTGCCCCCTGCAGAAGAGAGGGGACTATAGCAATAAGATATACTGGACCCTGATGAGCCCTGGGAACTACAGAGATTGCAATGTATGTCAAAAGTGAAGTTGGGATCACTCCCAAGTTGTCATCATGATAGCAGAAGATGGAAAGACTGAGGATCAGCAAACCTTACAAACCCATATAAGGAGGTAAAGCAGGTGAATGGATACACACCGAAGAGTCTCGCACAGAACCGTTGAGGTTACTGGCGGAAGGAGGCTTAAGAAAGGGGGTACAGCTCTATGGACCCTGGTCGAGATGTATAGTGCCAGGAAAACATCTAAGGCTGCACATGATGGTTAATATATCAGTAGCCTTCCAACCAGATCCTCATGAGCTGCTGGTGGAAGGATTGCTAATGTGGAGAGCATTCTTGAGATGCCTTCTGAACCATGGGTGTTAAACCTGGGATTCTTACCACTGAAAGACCATTGGCAACTCTGTGATAAGGGAAACCTCCAGAGGCAGAATGAGAAGTGGTGCAGGAAGACTTTTGGAGAGTATTTGCTCTTAGGAGAAGATAAACAATACCTCAAATTGGACATAATTAAGAATTTAGTACTGGTGTTATAATAGTTAAACATATATGTCACTAATTCTGTGGTGGTTTGTAGAACCTGAACACAAAGGAAAATCCTCAATTTGTCATTGCTGATAAATTTGCTTTGAGAGCAACACAAATGTGACAGATTCAAATTTTGTGCATCTAGTAGTTTATTCAGCTCTTTGGATGGTTACACAGCTGGTATGTAGCCAACATTTCACTACTGTCAGAT